CTAGGAAGAAGAAAGAATATTTTTAAAATAAAAAAATATAAGAATGATATCTGATCTGTTCCTTCCAACTGTATGAAAAATGTGGACTTGGATTTAAAAATAAAAACAGTAACAAAAACCAACTTGATTGTTCCATTGTACTAATTAACACCAAAATAAATTCTAGATGGGTTAAATAAAATGAACCTATAAAGAGACCAGAAGAAAATACAGGTGACCTAAAAAAATAATTTGGCATCTGATATTTTAAACAAATCTAGAAACCAGAAGCAAAAACACAGGCAGATATCACCATATAAAAAATTTAAAACTTTTATACAGGAAAATACCAAATAAAGAAAATTAAAACAAGCTCAGTGGTTGAGCATCGACCTATGAACCAGGAGGTCACGGTTTGATTTCCGGTCAAGGCATATGCCTGGGTTGCGGGCTCCATCCCGGTGTGTGGTGTGCAGAAGGCAGCTGATCCATGACTCTCTCTCATCATTGATGTTTCTCTCACTCCCTTTCCCTTCCTCTCTGAAATCAATAAAAAAATATTTCTTAAAAATTTGCAATGCAGATGAAAAAGGGCTGATATCCCTAACAATTAAGAAACTTTAACAAGTCAGAAGAAAAAGACAACTATACACATCAAAAAAATGACATAGCAACAATGACTAATTCAATAGTAAGGAGAATCTATAGCATCCATATTGTGATTTCTAAATGCCATTTCCTACTAAAAAGAACTGAGCCGCACCTTGGAGAAATGGCTAATTCCAGGTCTGGGGCAGATACACATTAAATATATTTAAGTTCATGATAATAGATTCTTAGATTTAGATATTTAGGTAAAGATACCTCACTAGTCAGCTTTGAAGGATACTAGGAAACTAACTTATACTGAAAACTAGTAAATAAAGAAAAACAACACCCCCAAGCGTTTAATCTGCCTTTCCTATATTAATCACAATTCAAGTAAACAAATAGCTTTATGGGAAAATCCTCAATAGAAGTGCTGTTAATAAATAAAAAAAGGAATGACAGAATGAGAATATTATCAATTAGCAAAAACTCTAAAAATATCATGGATCTAGGCAAAGATCATCAATGTCTATTAACATCACAAAAAAGAGGTAACTGAACAATAAGTACCATCTGATGGAAGCACAGGACACCACCTATAAAATATTCTTGTCTAAAACATCAAATTTAAGTCAAACAAGCCTTCCACCTTTAACAACCAATTGACAGGAAATCAATTGTAGAGGAACATATTAAAAAAGTTATCCCATTACAATCAGCAAAATCTGGAATATAAGACACTCAATAGGACAAACTCAGTTTTTTAATAGAAAAAAGGGAGGGAGAACCTATAGATTAAGAGACTTAAGAGGCAATCAACCAAATGGAATGTATTAACCTTGTTAGGATACTGAGTCACACCAGTCATCTGCAGGGGGAAGTGGGGTGGGGGGGTGAGGGTGCGGGGAATTGAGACAATCAGAGAAATGTGAACATTGATCAGATATTTGATATCATAGAATTACTGTTGGCTTTCTAAAAGACGTAATAATAGCATTATTAATAGGTTCTTTAAAAATATTTTGTCTTTTAAAGACATAACTAATGAAATACATCTGGGATTCACATGAAAATAATTCAGTAGGAGGGGAAAGGGAACTAAGTGGGGGTGTAGTGAAACAAGAGTGGCCATAGTTGACACTGTAGCTGAAAATGAATACTTGAGTTTTCATGATACTATTTTCTCTATGTTATAACTTTTAATTATAAAATAGAAGGGAAAAAAAGGAAGAGTAAATTGGAAGTCTTTTTTTTTAAACTTCCCATAACCTTTTTTTATACTTCCACTTCCTTTAGAGTTGTGTGTGTAACCCAGACCTTTGCACCATCTCTCTCAGTAGTAAAACTTAGTAGTTTTATTCCTAACTTTAGAGGGAACACTTTCAATGTTTTCCTTTTAAGTATATTTTTATTGATTTCAGAGAGGAAGGGAAAGAGAGAGAGAGAGTGAGAGAGAGATAGAAACATCAATGATGAGAGAGAATCATTGATCGGCTTCCTCCTGTATACTCCACACTGGGGACCGAACCTGCAACCCTGGCATGGGCTCTTGACCAGAATCAAACCCCGGACCCTTCAGTCTGCAGGCTGACGCTCTATCCACTGAGCCAAACCAGCTAGGGCTCAATGTTTTTCTTTTAAGCATAATGCTAAATAACAACCTCTTAAATAACAATTCTCTAATGCTTATCTAATAGAAACACAGGTTATCTAAGTCAGCAGTAACATATTTAGTTTGACACACAATAAAGCATTACTGTCATTTAAAATTATTTCTCCTTTCAACTTACTTTATAGTATCTGCAAAGCTGACTCGGCGAGAGCTTTTCTTATTTCTCGAAGCATTGGGTTCCTAAGGGCAGAGAATATTTGGTATGATTCTTAATGAAACCACTGTTAATTAGGTCTCTAGAGTACTACATATAGACCAAGTCTTATTCTGAAATAATTTTATATTATTATTAATTTTGATTATTATTAGTCTCCAAGATATCCCAATGTAGAAACACTTAATAAACACGAATATAATTTTCAATGTGAATGACACTAAGTATAGTGACATAAACAACATATATTTAAGGAGATACTGCCCCTTATCTTCTCTCTCTTTTAAGTGAATGGCTACTTTACTATCAAGAAAAAAGACAAAGGATAAAGCAAATGATATGTTGCCTATTATGGTAACCTTACTATACTATTTTGAAGATTTAAAAAAATTTAATTGTAGTAAAATACACATAAATAAAATTTACCACCTTTACCATTTTGAACATGTATTTTTATTTTATTGTGGTAAGAACACTCTACAAGAAATCTACCCTCTGAACAGATTTCTAAAGGCACAGTACGATATTGTTAACTATAGGCAGTATTGTACAGACCTCTAGAACATATTCATCTTGCATAATTGAAATTTTATACTTGTTGATTAGCAACTCCCCATTTCCCCATCCTCTCTGCCCCTGGCAACCACTTATCCTTCTGCTCTCTGCTTTTATGAGTTTGACTATTTTAGATACCTCAAGTAAGTGGAATCATATAGTATTTGTCCTTCTGTGACTGGCTTATTTCACTTAGCATAATGTACTCAAGCATCTTAACCATTTTTAAGTGTACAGTTCAGTTAGGTGTATCTAGGTTGCTATGCAACCAATCTCCAGAACTCTTTTCATCTTGCAAAACTGAAATTCTATATCCATTAAACAATTCCCCTAACCTTTCCATAGCCACCATTCTATTTTCTGTCTCTATGAATTTGCATATCACCTTCCCCAGCTTCCGCCCCAACTGAATTTTCTTTCTCTACTCTATACTCTAGGTACTTCACAAGTGGAATCATAAAAGTTTTTTTTTCCTTTTGTGCCTGGTTTATTTCACTTAGCACAATGGTTTCAAGATTATTTTTAATTGATTTTTTTTAAGAAAGAGGGAGAGGAAAAAAATCAGTTGATTTAATTGATTTTTTTAAGAAAGAGGGAGAGGGAAAAAAATGATGTGCTCGGCTGCCTTCTGCACACCCCTTACCATGGATCAAACCCGCAACCAGGGCATGTGCACTGACAGGGACTCGAACCAACAAGCACTCAATGCACAGGGTGATGCCCAACCAACTAAGCTACACTGGCCAAGGCCAGAATCCCCTTCTTTTTTAAGGTTGAATAATGATCCATTGATACCACATTTTGTTTATCCATTCATCAGTTGATGGACACTGGGTGCTTCCTCCCTCTGACTATTGTGAGTAACGATGCTATGAACAGGAGTGTACATTTCTTAAGATCCTTCTTTCAATTCTTTTGAGTATATACCCAGAAGTGGAATTGCTAGATCATATGGTAATTCTATTATTTTTTTAGGAATTGCAATACTGTTTTTTCCATAGCAGCTGCACCATTTTACATTCCCACGACAGGACACAAAGGTTCTAATTACTCCACATACCAGCCAACATTGTTATTTTCTAAGTTTTTGATGGTAGTCATTCTAATGGGTATGAGGTGACATCTCATTGTGGTTATAATATGCATTTCCCTAATAATTAGTGATGTTGAGCATCTTTCATTATAATATACAGTTTTTACTTTTCCTCATATTCCTTAACAAGAGCAAACATTTTTACTCTCATGGATACCAAACACATAAAGCAAGACAGAGAAACAAACAACATCCACAGATAATTTTACAGTGATAATTCTGAATACCTGAATATCTGAACATAAGTCTTATTATAACAAAGAATCAGGAATGTTCATCCTGGCAGATGCTATAGGTGACCTCAAGCTTAATATGATAATAATACTGACACAGTAAATAAATACTGGGACTAAAAGAGATTAATACCTTTCTTTTTTTTTCTTTTTTCTACAACTTTAACATGTGTCTTTTTATGCTAGAAAGGCTTTCTTTACAGAAGTCTTTGAAGATCTAAAGTGAAGTTTTCTGCATGAAAAAAAGAATGTGTGACAAGCAACTTATCACCTAAGGCAGTTCCCTCAGAACTGATCTTCAAAATGCAAACTGCACTCTCCTCAGTATTTTTGGAAAGCATCGTGGATCTAGGCAGTGTGGTCTTACACAGACTAGATCTACATTCCTCCAAAGGTACTTATATTCACTTCTTTCTTCACCGGCTGTAATCTCTGTAAACTAACTTTGATTAGTTCTATCAGAAGAGACAGGAAGGGAAATTGCTAGACTTTCAAGTCTTCAATGGCTGGGGCTTTCTACTGCTCTTCAACAGTATTCTCAGATCCAAATACTAGCATATTTCTTTCTAAAAAAGAAAAACAAATTTGTGTGGTATATTTGAAATAAGATTAGAGCTCTAATTTGAAGTCTGTTACTAAGTAGGTGTGTGGGCTTAGACAAAACATTTAACTTCTCTGGACCTCATATTTCTCATCTATAAAATGGGAAAAAAATAGATTCAAGATTACTCTGGTTTCTCTTCAGATGGCATAAATCTTTTTTGCCTTTTACTGAAGATTTCCATGGAGAGGAACAACAAAAAAGATTACTGGTGAGGTCCTATTGATTTTATAGCTCTATGAATCTATGAATCTGTCATTTAATCATTTAAAGTTCATTAAAAACATTTTTTGTCCTCGCCAGTATGGCTAAGTGGTTGGAATGTCAGCCCATGCACTGAAGGGTTGAAGGTTCAATTCCCAGTCAAAGGCATGTACCTGGATTGCAAAGGAATCCCTCACATGCGGGAGGCAACCAAACGATGTGTCTCACATCAATGTCTGTCTGTCTGTCTGTGTCTCTCTCTCTCCTTTCCCCCTCCCTCCCTTACTTCCTCTCTCTCTCTAAAAAAAAAAAAATCATTGAAAAATATATCCGCAGGTGAGGATTAACCAAAAACAAAACAAAAAAACAAAACATTTTCTTAAAAGGGGGTGAGGGGTAGGTAGGAGAGGATAGAGGAGGAAGGAAACTTGACTTGGGGTGGTGAACACACAATACAATCTACAGATGATGTATTATTTATGTATTATAGAATTATACCCCTGAAACCTATATAATTTTATTAACCAATGTCACCCCAATAAATTAAATAAAAAACAAAATAAACAACACATTTTTAAAAAAATACACACATTCTAGCCAGGCCAGTGTGGTTCAATGGTTGTGCACTAACCCATGCACCAAGAGGTCACTGGTTAAATTTCAAACAAGGCACATGTGGTTTTGGGTTCAATCCCCAGCAAGGGGCATGCAGGACACAGCCAATTGATGTTGATGTTTCTCTCTCATAGATGTTTCTATCTCTCTCGCCCTCTCCCTTCCTCCCTCTCTAAAATCAATTTACCCCTAGCCAGTTTGGCTCAGTGGATAGAGCATTGACCTGCAGAACAAAGGGTCCCAGGTTGGATTCTGGTCAAGGGCACATACATTGGTTGCAGGCTCCTCCCCGGCCCAGGTCCTGGGTCAGGGCTCGTGCAGGAGGCAACTCAGTGTGTTTCTCTCACATTGATGTTTCTCACTGTCTTTCCCTCTCTCTTCCACTCTCCCTAAAAATCAATGGAAAAATATCCTCAGGTGAGTATTTAAAAAAATAAATAAACATATTTAGAAATACACACACATTCTAGATCCCATGCTGAGTGATAGAAAAATAGTGGTAAAGAATACAGTCCTGCCCTGGCCGGTTTTGCTCAGTGGATAGAGCATCAGCCTGTAGACTGAAGGGTCCCGGGTTTGATTCCGGTCAAGGGCACATGTCCGGATTGTGGGCTTGGTCCCCAGAGGGGGGTGTGCAGGAGCAGCTGATCGATGGTTCTCTCTCATCATTGATGTTTCTATCTCTCTCTTCCTCTCCCTTCCTCTCTGAAATCAATAAAAATATATTTAAAAAAAAATACAGTCCTACTCTACTAGGAATTAATGGTGAAACTGACATTTTTTAGAAGTTATTTTATTTTTTAATATATTTTTATTGGTTTCAGAGATGAAGGTAGAGGGAGAGAGAGAAAGATAGAAACATCAACAATGAGAGAGAACTATTGATCGGCTGCCTCCTGCACGCCCCCTATTGGGGATCAAGCCCGCAACCCAGGCATGTGCCCTTGATTGGAATCGAACCTGGGACCCTTCAGTCTGCAGGCCAACACTCTATCCACTGAGCCAAACCAGCCAGGACGAAACTGAGATTTTTAAAACAAAAAATCCATACAAACATAAAACTCAAAATATGGCAAGTGATAAGAAGGAAAACTACATAAAAAACTAATTTAGCCTGAGAATGAGGGAAGATTTCTTTCAGAGAGTACATTTAAGTTGAAACCTAAACTTTATTTGTATAAGTATTATTTGTCCGATGAAGGGTTGGGAACAGGGAAAGCATTCTAGGCAGAATATGTACAGGAGCTCTAATGCAGAAAAAAGCTTAATGTATTTGAAAAATAGAAAGATTGGACATCAATAAAAAGAAAAAACAACCTATTGTATGGAAGAACACATTTGCCAATGATACATCTGATAAGAGGTTACTATCCAAAATTTGTAAAGAACTCATACAACTCAACACCAAAAATATAAAATCCAATTAAAAAATGGGCAGAAGACCTGAATAGACACTTCTCCAAAGAGGGCATACGATGGCTAATAGACATATGAAAAGATGCTCAAAATCATCTAGAGAAAGGCAAATTAAAACCACAATGAATCATCACCTCACACCTGTCAGAATGGCTATCATCAATAAATCCACAAACAAGTGTTGGCAAGGATAAGGAGAAAAGGGAACTCTCATGCACTGTTGGTGGGGATGCAGATTGGTGCAGCCACTATGGAAAACAGTATGAAGTTTCCTCAAAAAGTTAAAAACGACCCTAGCTGGTTTGGCTCAGTGGATACAGCGTCGACCGGCGACTAAAGGGTCCCAGGTTCGATTCTGGTCAAGGGCACATGCCCGGGTTGCAGGCTCGATCCCCAGTGGGGGGCATGCAGGAGGCAGCCAATCAATGATCCTCTCTCATCATTGATGTTTCTCTCTCTCTCTCCCTCTTCCTTCCTCTCTGAAATTAATAAAAATATATATATTTTAAAAAGTTAAAAATGGAACTGCCTTATGACCCAGCAATTCCATTTCTGAGTATATCTCCAAAGAAACTCAAAACACTAATTCAAAAGAATATATGCACCACTGTGTTCATCGCAGCATTATTTATAACTAGAGGCCCTATGCACAAAATATGTGCAAGAGTAGGCCTTCACAGCCGTGGCTGCCTCGGCCCTCGCAGCCCTGGCTTCATCCGGAAGGTCATCGGATGGTTGTTCCACTGTTCAGTCGTTTGGTCAATTTGCATATTACGCTTTTATTATTATAGAACAGTGATGGCGAACCTTTTGAGCTCGGCGTGTCAGCATTTTGAAAAACCCTAAATTAACTCTGGTGCCGTGTCACATATAGAAATTTTTTGATATTTGCAACCATAGTAAAACAAAGACTTATATTTTTGATATTTATTTTATATATTTAAATGCCATTTAACAAAGAGAAATCAACCAAAAAAATGAGTTCGCGTGTCACCTCTGACACGTGTGTCATAGGTTCGCCATCACTGTTATAGAAGATAGTCAAGATATGGAAGCAACCCAAGAGCCCATCAAGAGATGAGTGTATAAAAAAGCTGTGGTATGCCCTGGCCAGTGGTTAGAGCATCATCCCACAGACCAAAGGGTCTTGGGTTCAATTCCTGGTCAAGGGCATGAACCTCGGTTGCAGGCTCAATCCCCAGCCCCAGTTGGGGTGTGTGCGGGAGACAACCAATCGATATGTCTCTCTCTCATTGATGTTTTGCTCCCCCTCCTCCTTCCCATCCATTCTGTCTAAAAAGAAATCACTGGAAATCCTCAGGTGAGGATTAATAAACAAATAAACAAATAAGCAAGCAAGCAAGCTATGGAATAGCACTCAGCAATAAAAAAGAATGAAATCTTACCATTTGTGACAGAATGGATGGACCTGGAGGGTATTTTGCTTAGTGAAATAAGTCAGACACAGAAAGACAAATACCATATGATTTCACTTATATGTAAAATCTAACAAACAAAACAGAAACAGACTCACGAATACAGAGAACAGATTGATGGTTGCCAGGGGATAGGCATTGAGGAACTGGGTGAAAAATGAAGGAATTAAGAATTACTGATAGTTACAAAACAGTCACAGAGATGTAAAGTACAGCATAGGGAATCTATGTATATAAAAGCCTAAGTGACTGAATGATGGGTCAACTGGTTGCTATGATGTGCACTGAACACCAGGGGACAGATGCTCAATGCAGGAGCTGCCCCCTGGTGGTCAGTATGCTCTCACAGCCAACTTCCTGTGGCTGGCCAACATCCCGTGGTCACTCCCCCCAGCCGACCAGCCTGCCATGGTCCCTCCCCCCACCTGGCCGGCCCCGATCAGCCCCGATCAGAACTGGGTGAGATGGCCCAATTGGCCCCGATCTCCTGCCAGGCCTAGGGACCCCACCTGTGCACGAATTTGTGCACCAGGCCTCTAGTCCTATATAATAAAAGCCTACGTGGCGTCACACCCTTGCACGACGTCCTCGCGCAACATCGTCACAAGATGGCTGCCACAAGATGGCCATGCACACAGCAGAGGCGGGGCCCGGTGGCCACTCCACACAGTGAGGCCTGGGGGTCCTGCAGCTCTGCGTGGTGTGGAAGAGGTCAGTCCTGGCTGAGGAGGCAGGTCGCAGCAGGGGAGGGCAGTTGGGGGCCATCAGGCTGGCAGGGGAGGGCAATTGTGGGTGATCAGGCCAGCAGAGGAGGGCAGTTGGAGGCGATCAGGGCGGCAGGGGAGCAGTTAGGCATCAATCAGCCCAGCAGGGGAGTGGTTAGGGGGCGATCAGGCTGGCAGGCAGGAGAGCGGTTAGGAGCCAGCGGTCCCGGATTGTGAGAGGGATGTCCAACATCCACCGAGGGGCCCCAGATTGGAGAGGGTGCAGGCCAGGTTGAGGAACAGCACCGCCCCCCCCGCCCATGCACCAATTTCATGCACTGGGGCTCTAGTACAGTCAATAATATTGTAATAACTATGGATGGTGCCAGGTGGGTACTAAAAATATCAGGGGGAGCACTTTGTGAACTTTATGATTGTCAAAGCACTGTGCTGTACATCTGATACAAAATAATACTGAATGTAAACTGTAATAAAAAAAGAACAAGAGCCGGTCTAGCTCAGTGGATAGAGCATTGGCCTGTGGACTGAAGGGTCCCAGGTTTGATTCCAGTCAAGGGCACATGCCCGGGTTGCGGGCTCGATTTCCAATAGGGGGCATGCAGGAGGCAGCCGATCAGTGATTCTCTCCCATCATTGATGTTTCTATCTCTCTCTCTCCCTCTCCCTTCATCTCTGAAATCAATAAAAAATCCTATATAATAATAGGCTAATATGCAAATTGTTCCCGACTGAGTTCGACTGGGAGTTAAAACAGGAGTTCGACCAGAGGGCGGGGCCAGCCGGCCAACCGCCCGTGCATGAATTCATGCACTGGGCCTCTGGTCCTATATAATAAAAGCCTAATATGC